ATATGCGAAATTCTCATATATATATATAGTGTCATATTCGTGAGTTTCATTTTTAATCTTCCTTAGTGTACTCGTCAACTAATAATATTCGTTAAATAAATTACTCAGTACCGTTAAAAGCAAAATGTTCTTTCAAACTATCTGGAACATTTGAGGACTGTAATAAGAATTCTGGATCTGCAGATGTGTTTCACACCTTCCTTTCCGTTCCCTGCAGAATTAATCCCCAAGGCACTTATTCAAAAAGGAAAAGAAGTCGTAAAATAAATGGCCGTGAAAGTTAAAGTTATGGGAAAAGGGAAGAAATGAATGAGAAATAAAAATGCATTTATCCAACCTTTACAAATGTCCCTCATTTTGTAATGATTGATGTTACTTTTCCTTCTAACCGCAGTATGAGCAAGAATAAATATTTCAAAAGTTTTAAATTTCCTTTCTCATTGTTTTTACGCTTTAATAAATATAATACTGGAGGACCTATTCTGCTTTTATAACGGGTATTCTTTTTATTTAAAAAAAAAACTGTCACGAGCTCGATTATAGAAGCAAACGTTTTATTTTAATTGAATACAATTTTTAGATGATAATTAATTAAATAATTTTAAACACTAATATTACTTTTGTCACATATATATTCTTCTTTACTACCATCAAAATAAGGATCTAAAATCTCTGGATTTTCTTATATTTCTTTAGACGGAAAGCTTCATCAATGATTGCAAAAATATTGATGATTTTATATAATCCATAATATAATCCTTTATCAAAGAAAACATAACACTTTTTATTTGCACAAGTTGTTCCATCATATCGTCATAGCGACCTGAAATCCACATCGTTTTCTTTTTAAATTAAAACTAGACAAATTCTAGCTTGTAGCTCACTCACAATTAAATAATAAATAAATGGAATATAATTTTAACATCTATAATGAGATGCCTGCAAGCTATGTAGTGTGGATATCTCGATCCTGATTGGTTGTTGAAACGTGGCATTTGCTTGCATTAACTTTCGTTTGGGTAAATAAGTCCTTCAATCATCAATTCTCTTAAGTTTCACATTCTATATTCTTTCACAAATATTTCAATTATTTATGTGGAGTAACTGAGCACAACTTTAACACGCCATTTTGCAACTTTAACACGCCAAACTATCAGCTGACTCTGACGTCATAGGCCACATGTGTGGGTATCTGTGATCTTCTTGAAGTGCAAGTACTCTATTGATTGAACTATAGAGAAGAATTCATAAATTCCATAACAGAATTTATTTCTTATTTGAAAAGTCAAACAAGAAGGTATGCAAATGAAATTTATGCATCATTTGCTACAGTTTTCTGAATTGCAGAATATTCAACAAATAATCTTTTCGAAATAAGATGTTTATAAATTTGCGGGTGTGCATGTGAAATATTGATATTTAGCTTTTTTCTTGTACTGGCTTCGCACAAATATGTTTTGTGAAGCGTATTTCTTCAACTATTATGTTATAAAATGTGATTTTAGCGAAAATATCTTCAACACTAATGGTGCGTACATAAATTGAAATTAATATTTACTTTTTAATAAACTTGAATTTTTAGTTAGTAGCAGGTAGACTGTAATAACTTAGTAGCCACTTTTTTTATCAAGTCTAATGAGTCGGTGACCGATAGATCCTTTTAATTTAAATGCGAGATCTTCTAAACTTTTTTTTTGTTGCTTGGATTAAATTATATTTTTTAAAAAAAAAATCATATTTGAAATGCTCTATATTGCTATGAAAAGTTAATTCAACAATAAAAATAACATAAATATGTGACAAAATTTAGTTAACCATAATGAATTTAAAGGACTTTATTTAAAAAATATTTTGGGCGGCGAAATAAATTTATTGTATACATTACAACTTTGAAAATATGCGAAATTCTCCTTCCACGTGAATCTTTGAAATGGGTTGATTCTGAAGGATCAAAATTTGAATGGAGACATTGGTCATTTTAATGAAAATTCTGTTTTCCGGAGTCTTTCTACAATAACAGGGTGCGTAGCGTTTTTAAAAAAAGTGCTTACTTTCGATTTTCGTTTTTTAATAGCCCTTAAAGGTGCTTTTTTCATTGGGTGTTTTTAAAAAGTGTTCAATTTTCCCTTTTTCAAAATGATATTTTTCCTTTAGTATGTTGATTTTCGCTTCGAATTATGCAAAAAGACACAGTTCACATTGTTCTATTCAACGTTTTCACAATTAATTCAACCCCAATCTATTTCGGCGTATAGTCAGTCCGTAGCGTATGAAAACGCCATTCGTTTTGCATGATTCAAAATTTCATGATTTTTGACAATTGTCAAAAACAATGCCGAAAGGTTTTTTGACACGACAAGATAAAACCGTCGATTGTCAAAAACTTAACCCTGCCTAATTATGATATTTTTGTAAAGTGCTTAAAAACATTTTTTGAGTGATTGAAAAGTGCTTATTTTTTGTTGAATAATTTGGCTACGCACCCTGTAATAATATTAGTATTTTCTGAGGATCTCTGAAGATTTTTATAAAGCATAAATCGACCTATCAGAAAAGTTCGGAATCTGATATTCTATTGAGGTTCTACAGTAGGGGGGAGTCTAAACTTTTTTCAGAGAGGAGCTGTGGTAGAGTCATTTGTGTCAACAAGTGTAGAGGAAGGGAAAAGTATCACCTGAGAAAGTAGGAGGGATCGACTAAACTGCCAATCATTGAGAACGAGGAGTTGATCTTGCGCCTCCGTATCGTCGCAGTCACCCTTTGAAGGCGGGAATAACAGGATGACGAGTGTTCGAAGGGTTGATCAGAACTGCTCTTTTATTTCTTGGCTCGTTATCGCCTTAATTGGCTCCGTTTAGTCGCAGGTTAAATTTTTTTTCTATAAAATTATCGTAAAAAATTATATTATAATATTCTGTATCAAATGTATTTCCTCTAAAAAACTCTAAATTTCTGAACGTGCAATGTTAAAGTTATAAATATTTTTCTGAACTTTAAAAGTATTGTGAAAGTTTTCATAA